GTGAAGACAAAGTTTTCTTCATACATTGTGTGTGCAAGTGCATGAATGTGTGTGTGCATGTGCACTGTACACATAGTGTATGTGTGTGTGTGCTAAAATTCAATACCTGCAGTTCCCAGCAGTATAAGGCAGGGCTTAAAATTCAACTGAAATTTCAACTGAAAATTTATCAGCACCTACATATGTGCCAGGTATTGGGGTCAAAAGATGAGATAACATCCATGTGAGTGAGCAGATTTGCACATGGTAGGTATCCAAAAACAACTAGTTTCTTTACGGTTACTGTTTATAGAGCCGAAATGATGCCAAATAGATAGCAGCCTCAGAAAGGCAAGGACCTCATTGATGATTCAGTATATTCGTCCTGGAGATTGTTGAAGTGTGATTCGAGGGTAGAGGCAGGATATGAGTTAGGATAAGGGAGGGGTTTATGACGAGGGACTTTCAGTTATGGAGCAAGTCTTTCTCAGCCGTTGTTCAACTGAGTATGAGTTATAGCAAGTGGGATACTGAATGGATGAAAAAAATCTAAAGTATAGCCCCCAGGTATCCTGTAGTACCTTTGTACATTAACTTTCCTAGCGCTAGTCCTTTTAGATTCTGGGCCTGTTTCCTGAGCTTGGCACACGTATGTGGGATTCTACCTCAACAATGGCTAATGTTTTCTCCTAGAAGGAATGAATATTACTTTGTGCTGCTTACCTAAAGATGGGAGGAACAGAAAAAAGTTGCCGAATAAAGATAGTAGATTCATCTAATGAGCAGGCTGAGGTTCTGTGTATATTTAAACTTGGGGCAGTGTGCAAATTTGGGTGGCCACTTCTGGAACTTTCCTTATGAATAAGGAAATGTACATGGTTGAATTTCAAGCCATGTTTATTCAGAACACCTTCATATAGCTCTATGATTTCAGGGGCTAAAGCCCAGAAGACATGCCTGACCAGTGGCTTAGGAGGTAAATCCCTAAACGTATCTGTGTCTTTGTGATTCCTGTTGCAAAAGGGAGAGAATTACAGAGGACTTTCTTCTGAGTTACGTCAGGATCTTCGGTTGGCATAGTGAAAAGAGTATTGGGCTGTTTTCAGAAGGAAACACACAGGGGAAGGGAAGACAGAAAATTTACCCTATTAGAAATCCTGAAATATCTAACAGGCATTAGAAGAGGACAGATGGAGAGTCAGGGAAGGAAGGAATTGAACATCTGCAGTGTGACAGTGAGTGTGCTAATGCTTTTCCACAAATACCAAAACAATACAGAAGATCTGGGTTCAAATCATGGGTCCACCACTTAGTAGCTTTGGAGCACTGGATGAATTATTTGTCTTTATTTCAGTTTCCTCGTTGATCAAAACGAGGAAACTAACTCTCATCTCACAAGCCAGTGGTCAGGATCAAGTGAGACGATGTAAGCAAAAGCGTTTTTGCAGTGTGTAAAATACTCTAAGAACTTAAGACCTCATTCTTCTATCCTGCCTCTGCAGCTTCTGGGGATCAATTTGCAGTGGGTGCTTGCTTATCTGGTTCTAGCTGGGAGACTCTTCATGGGTTGGCTCATACTCATGCACAGAAGCAATTTGATTTCTCTGGTACTTGATATATAAAGTGAATTAAAAATCCCTGAAAACAGACTGTGTCTTCTATCCTGCCTTTTTTCAACAGGAATGACATCTCAGCTCATAGAACAGCACAAAGAAATACACCATAGGATTTTAGCAAAGGCACAAAGGGAAAGGTACAGGGGCGCAGTGGCCACAGCCTTCTTTATTAGTTATTTGGAAAGACAGTGAGTTTGCACAGCAGGATTCCAGGCATGGTATCTCACACACTTGGACTTGAATCCTTGACATCCCTATTCATTTGCTAGATGTGTGACCTTTGGTCAGTCACTTAACCTCCCAGAATCACGAATTCCTCTTCTTCAAGATGGAGTTAATAACATCATCCTGAAGGGCTAGTGTGAAAACTGGAGATAATGTACGTGGAGATTTCATAGGTTCTCAATCAATAGTCCTTTGCCATTTTTACACATGTGGGAGTCTATACATGATCCTATCTCTTTAACTTTTTGGGTGGCCAAGGTGACTTTAGGTGTCATATTTCCTAGAAGCTGAAACCTGGGTTTCTCTCTCACTGTCCTTTACAAGTTTGTGATGGTAATGTGGTTACCATCCCACAGGGAATGAGAAAAACCAGGGATCTTTTGAATGAATTTGCTTTCGGTTTAACTAAATATTTAGTACTTGGGTTATTTTATGGAGATTTAATTATGCACAAGGGGGATTGGGGAGATTGGGAGTATTACTGGTTTCATGGAAAATGCAGAAATTCTTTGCAGCGTCTCAGGTAAGTAAGACTAATGTTTCATCCAGCTCAGTGCAGGCAACATCTGGATGAATGGTCTCCTTGTTCCTATAGAATGGGGCTCAGTCTGCATTCTCTATGTTCAGACCCCTTGATTCTCTCTCCACCGCTCTCACACTGCATCTTTAGGACAGACGTTATTGCAACATAAATTGGAAGGCAGCAAATAAACCTTTTTGATTTCTTCCATCCTTATTTGCCCATCCCTCCAAATCCTCCAATTCCACTAAAAAGAAGCAGCACTTTGATGATGGAGCTCTTATTGAAGAGTCCCAATGCTACTGAACCCAAGTCCTCATTCTTTTTGACATGGATGTGGTGAGTTTAGCATTTTTAAAATAAAGAGTTTTATGATACAAGGTTCTGCCTCTGTACCTAGTTTTTGGGTGGCAGGGGTTTATGAAATTTAGGAGCAGAGATGTGACCTCTAATTATATATTTGCTTGCTTCTCTTTCAGCCTTCTGGGTCTCACCACTTGGAAGTGAGTGAATCAGTATTAGTGAAACTAACAATTTGATGAGTTTACTTTTTTCTTTTAGGAAACATAAAAACTGTGGCTCAGAGCCATTGTGGTCATTGGGTCAGAGAGTTTGCACCTAAGGGAATATGAGTGCCTCCCTCAGAACGTTGTGTGAGGATTAAAGGAGTCAATACATGTAAAGTGCTCAGAATAGTGCCTGGCACAGGGCAAGGGCTATATGATTTTATCCCACCCACTGCTGGGTGGGGTCTGTGACCTGAGAGCAGTTCCCTGTGGTAAGTACTATCAGCTGTACTTCAAAATACATCCAGAAAGAAGCCATTCACAAAAGACCACATACGATGTGATTCCATTTATATGAAATGTCCAGAAGAGGCAAATCTATAGAAACAGAAAGTAGATTAGTGGTTGCCCAAGGCTGGGAGGAGTGGGGAGGTTGGGATGAGATAGCCGAAGGGTATGGGGTTTCTTTTGGGGTGATGAAAATGGTCTAAAATTGACTGTGGTGATGGTTGCACAAGTCTGTGCATATACTAAAAACCATTGAATTGTACACGATAAGTGAGTGAATTGTATGGCATGTGAATTATATCTCAATAAAGCTGTCAAAAAATACATTCAAAATTCCACCCCTGCTCACCATCAATGTCACCATGAATGTCACTACGGTGCTAGTCCAAGCAACTGGCATCTGTCTCCTGGACCATTAGAATAGCCTCCTAATTGGTTTTCACAATTTCACAGTTGCCCTAGCCACTGTGTATTCTCCACAGACGGCTGTAGTGATCTTTTATTTATTTATTATTTATTTATTTATTTATTTTGCAGTGCGCGGGCCTCTCACTGCTGTGGCCTCTCCCGTTGTGGAGCACAGGCTCCGGACGCGCAGGCCCAGCGGCCATGGCTCACGGGCCCAACCGCTCTGCGGCATGTGGGATCTTCCCAGACTGGGTCACAAACCCGTGTCCCCTGCATTGGCAGGCTAACTCTCAACCACTGCGCCACCGGGGAAGCCCTGTAGTGATCTTTTAAAATGTAAAGCAGAATATGTCTTCCTTCCTCCTTCCATTCCTCCCTCCCTCCCTCCTTCTTTCTTTCCCACGCCACGCGGCTTGCAGGATCTTAGTTCCCTGACCAAGGATTGAACCTGGGCCCCAGCAGTGACGGCACCGAGTCCTAACCACTGGACTGCCAGGGAAGTCCCCAGAATATGTCTTTCATCTACTTAAACTGTTTCACTGTCTCCCCATCACACCTAAAATCAAAGTGAAACTTCTCACCTTGGCTAATCTGGTCCCTGTGACTTGTCCCTCAGCCATCACGCTCCCCTATGTTCATTTTGCTTTAGCCACACTGGCCTTCATGTTCTTCAGATATGGCAATCTCATTCCTACCTGCCTCAGAACCTTTCTGTTTGCCATTCACTCTGCCTAAAATTTGACCCCATATCTTCTCATAGCTCATTCCTTGATATTGCCTAGGACTAGGCTCAAATGTCACTGCATTAGAGAGGCTTTTCTTGCCCAACCCTATTAAAATAGTCCCCACTCCATCAATCTCCACCCATTCATTCACTTTATTTTCTTCATAGTATTTATCACTATTTGAATTTATATTTTAATTTATCTATTTACTTGATTGTTGGAAATCTCCCCTAGTATGTAAGTTCTTTGAGCGTAGAGATTTTTGTCTTGTTCACCACTGCATTCCTAGTACTTAGAACATGGCCTTTCCTCATTGTTTGTTGAATGAGTGAATGAATGAATGGAACCACCATATTGACTGTGGACAGAAAGACATTAACACACACATACTCATTCTCTTTTCTATCTCATTCTTTTTTCTATGTATATGTCCTGTGCTATAGCCTCACTTGGAGTATTTCACATATCTTAAAACTTGCATTCAATTCTTACGAGGAAGTTCCTTTGAGGTTCCTTTTCAATAACATTCTGTGTATTCTATTTAGAACGTAACTTGATGCTTAGACTGATAAACACTCTCACTGTTTGCATGAAAGTTCATGAAAACATGTAAAGGATTTCAGAGCCTATGCTTAGTCAACCATTCATTCTAAGGGCCAGCAATGGCTATTTCGGTGGCATAAAGCTGCGGTCTGGCCTTAATAGTACATGTTTTATTTTTGAATTTACTTACAGTGTGGACTTTCTTGGGCCCCTGTTCTCAGAAGAATCCTAGCAATGGGCACATTGTTGGTCATGATGGCAATATCCAGAGGTGTCAGTCCCTCACTGTTAGGTGTGTTGAGATCTAGTTCTTCCGATGTGTACTGATACAGGAGGATCTGCACAGCATCCATGTCTTGCTGTTCAACTGCTTCAAACATAGCTTCATTGCCCTGGAAGTTCTGGAAAAGAATGAAGCAGGTTAGCACAATTTCATAGACCAGCTTGTCCTCATGGACCAGCTGTTTTGAATTTTAGGGACTGCTTCAGTGACTGCATTCCCACTTATAAGTGGTATAACTGCTATTTATTCCAAGGTCTCCAAAGTGAACACTATTGAACCCTCCCTCCATCTTTTTTAAAGAACATTGAAAAGATCTGTACATTTAGATGCATTGAGACAATATAGTATACAGTCTATAGTTAAGAGCAAACATCAGTTTTTCTCAAACCAGTCTTCTGTGGAATACTGTTCAGTAGGCCATTATAAGGTGTTCCATGAAGAAAGTAGCATGTGGTCAAATGAATTTGGTAAACATTAGATTAAACCAAGTTACTGCATTATTTTATTGTAAGACCTCTCAAGCCCTTTAGTAATTTTAACATGCAATTATGACTCTCTAATAGTTGAGAAATATGACCTGTTTCAAATATTTTTTCACAGAACATATTTTTCATTATATTTGTTTTAACTGTCCTGGAATAAGGTTCTACCAAACACAGTTTGGAAAACGCTGGCATAGGTAACACAGCACAGGTAATTTAAATTATGACTCGCTTGGAATACACTTTCTCTGTTTCTCAAACTCATCCCCTCCCTTTCCATCCCCGTGTTTTGACTGTTTCTCAGACTGTTACCAGATCATGGCAGTGACCTGCCCGTTGCAAGTCTTAGTCTCTTCCATCCCTACTCAATATTGATACAAGAGTAGTCTTTCTAAAATTTACACTGCTACATGTCCCTTCCTTATTTACAAATCTGTAGTAGATCCACACTGCCTGCAGGCTGACTCCCTAACTCCTAGACTCCTTTATACTAACCTCTACACTTTCTCAACCCTGAGCCCCAGCCACTGAATACCTGGCATTTCTGAGACCTCAGGTGAGGGGCTCAAGAGGTGGTGTCCAGGGAAGGTTTCAGTGGATGGGTGGCAATTGCTTTGGGGCCTGAGAGGGCCAAAAGTTGAATCTTCATAGGGTACAAATCGCCTATAGAAGAGAATAGCTAAAGACAATATCTATCCTTTGAAAAGTTCTTTCAGGGGATTAATAGTAAGCAAAGGAGAAAAGCTTTAGAATTCTCTCAAATACATATTTCTGTAGCTCATGGGATAAGAGCAACACATATACTATTCATACATTTATCTGGTATCTTCTCCAAGAGTTGCCAGGTGTTCAAACACGTTGGAATACCAATGGTCCTGAGCTAGCATAGCGGTTGCCTGATTAAAATGTGGAAGGTCTTCCGTAACCACATATTTAGGTTGGCAGGTTTTATTTTTAGTCTCATCAAAAATCAATTCTCCCCATCAAAGGCTACAGGTCGACATAGCTGAGTGCATAACACATGAATGAAATTCGAGGAAAACACAAAGCTATTATGCAAATGCTTGTTTTGACAATGGGGACCCAGGGGATAGAACTGTTTGATATGCAACTCTGTTTGCTACATGGCAGTCTGCTGAGCCGAAAAGGGTTTTGTCGACAATCTGCTAAGCTGAACTGCCTCTGATGCTTAGGCCGTAACCCAGCCACAACCAAGCCCTCCCAGAAGATGAGTTTGAAATGAGAAAACAAATTAGAAAACAAATGAGTGCAAAGTTAAAATGCTGCCCTGTCCAAACAACACAGTTGTGTATTTGTTTACGATTCTTAGTATGTCTAATTTCTCATGTGCCATACTTGCTCTCACTCTTAAGTCATTTCCTTCGCCATGCTTTTGTTGGCAAACTCTAGTATGCTTCTATCTGGAAAGGCTAGGGCTCATTTCTGTTTTAAGCTCAAACAAATGGTGCCATTACCCCCTGCAGAAATACCCTTGCTGAGCATGATAATATTATGCCCTCAGCTTTTACTGAGGGGCAGTATAAGAAACTGCTATGTGAGAATGTTTATAACATCCCCAGTACTACTCTTTATTCTCCATTACATAATTCACTATGACATCTTATAGAAGCCAGAGGACTTAGCAACAGGAAGATATTCATTTGGTATACTTTCAGTTATTAGCTAATGGAATGCTATTACCAATTGTCCTTCCCCTTCTGCTTTGACTGACTAGGAACTCAGAGGTAAATGTAATGATAAATTTTAGGTACTGTATTTGCCTAGGTTTTTGGTATATCTATTTCTCTTTCCAGCCCCACTGTTTTCTTTTTCCAGTTTTTTCCTTCCTTCCTCCCTCCCACCCTCCTCCCCTTCCTTCTTTCTTTCTTTTTCCCTTTCTTGCTCCCTTGCTGTCCCCCACAATCACCATCGCTATTGATTTATTTACCATTGTATAATACATTTGCATTTTTTTTTTTTTTTGGCCTGGATTCTGTCTTGAATGCCTTTGGAAAGCATATGGGGTGTACATTACAAATAAGTAAATAAAATATTGTTCATTGTTCATCCAATATTTGAATGAACACTGGATTTGAATGAACACTGGATCTCTCAGAGAGCTTATTTGATCTCAAACTCCGTATTTGTCAAGCTGCTATTTTGTGGGTTCCTTGGTCTACTAGAGAAAGAAAAACTAAGGGAAATAAAGGAAAAGAAATTAAGAAAAAGAAAGGGAAAATCTCACAGTCACTTAAACTTCGACTAACATATATATGTGCAGTTCCTACCTTACCTGACTTTCAACATTTATAAACTTGCTAACATCAGGTTTTGAAGTAAACGTGGATCATCGTAGTATCTCCTTAAATCCAAACACAATGGCACAAATCAAACCAAGATGAGAATAAAGAGTTTTATTACCACCGAAGTCTTTCTGAGACTCAGCCGGTCAGTTCTTGTTCTAAAAGAGGCTTCATCAAACGAAGAGTGGCTCCCTTTCAGTTTCTCAGAGAGGTTCCGGTACAGGCGTTTGGCAGCACTGGGAGATGATGGGGCGCTATGTTTTTTTGACTGAGAAAGATGTAAATTCTGCATTTGTTGGGTCATTTTCACACGGCAATTCCTAAGAGAAGAAAAATCTAATGTAGTAATTTACACAACATAATTATAAGTTGACAAAAAATTTTATCATCCCCAGTAACCATCTGGAATCCTGATAAAATATTATAGCTGGAAGGGACCTTAGAGATCATCAGATCCAGCTTTTTCATGTTATAGATGAGAAAGCTGAAACCCAGGGAAGGGAAGCAGCTTGTTTATGGCCAAATAGCTAGTTGGTGGCAAGAATGAAATGACAACATCCATTTGCTATATAAACATATGCATTTACATACAAACGTATATGACTTGAGCCTCTATGAAAAATCTTTTGATCTCTGTCCCACTGGGAGGAAGTATCTCAATTCTATAACCCCGGGAGTCTGTTCAATTATTCTTGGCTCTATATAATTGGAATTTTGCTACTTATACTCTAGTTGCTGTCTTCTGTTGGGTGTATAAAAGAGTGTGGCTGTTTCCTGCAGATCCCCCTTCTCTCAAAAGTGTTAACCTGTGCCTGTTGTCTGAGATTTGTTGGACTATCGCAGTGCCCAGAGCTTTGGGGAATTTGTACCGATAGGCTCATCCCTGCTCACCCCAGATACTTCAGATAGTGTCCTCCAGGACACTTACTACTGGCATTCTCCAAGTAGTATTTGACTGCTGTTCCACAAATCTCTAAACAGGTCCTCACCAACGTCATACCTGAAGTCAGTTTCCAGGAGGTTAGCTATGGATTTCAAAGGCTGTCCATCATTATGTTGGGTATTGCTATTGAAATATTGATGCTACCAAGGCTATTGCTGCCTAGCATGTGTGTATTGGATGAACAAATGTATGAATGAAATAATTGGCTAAGGCAGTTATGTGCAAGGTGTCTCCACCCCTGGTGCAGCCTCTGGTGCATTGGGCCCAGGTCTCTGGAGCGTGCGGCTGCCTTCCCATCACCTGCCCTCAAATATCCAGTGGAGTCTTCCATTTGTATTCCTGCCATTGCCACTTAGCCATGACCCTTAGGACATCTTCAGTCCTTGAATTTTTATAGCTTTATGGACTCTGATATAATTCCATGTAGAATCTCTTTTATTGACCAAACTCTTCACAGCACTGACTTCAGTGATTCTCCAACTCCTCCAGGATATAACCATATTCTTTAGCTTTACGTACAAGTGCTTTTGCCTCTCTAGCTTCATCTGATACTGTACTTCTACATTATAGGTTTCAGTCTTTCTGATCTCCTTAGAGTTTCCTAAGTGGTTCAAACTCTTTGCTACCTCTGGGTCTTTGTATGCACTGCTCTGTATGTATTAAAATTCCATCTGTGCCTGCATCCCCTAGGAAACAATTGTTGATACTTAAAGTCTATGCTCAAGTAGTTTCTGACACCCCCGGGCAAATTTGGGTATTTCTTTACTCATTCACTCAGTATGTGCTTGTTACAGTAAATACTTTATCACGTTACAACTGTTTGTTCGGCTTTCTGTCTCCCAGCTAGTCTATATGCTTCACAAGAACAAGGACTGCTAAATATTACTTTTTATATCCACAGTACCCAAAATCTGCCTGTCTCAGGGTAAAAGAAATATAATAGAGAGTAAGATGTGAATCTCCTCTTCCACATACTGAATATGGGATCTTGGGCAAGTTACGTAACATGTCTGCATCTCATTTTTCTAATGTTTGAAATAGAGAAAATAACAACAACTACATATTATGGTTGTGAGGATTTGATGGGATAATGAATGTAAATAGCTTAGAATGTAGGCAGACTTCTGGCAGCTATCATATTTATTATAGAAGATACTCAGCAGATACTTCAGAGTAAATGAATGCACATTTGAGAGTCTATTACATATAATATAGTAAGGGTCTACCCAGAAAGCTCATTTCCTCTCATGCTTCTGAACTGGGTTCCATGTCCACTAGCACCAACTAACCTTGACTTACTTGCACTTTAACAAATGGAGATCCATCTTCATTACATTGTTGAATGTCTTTAGGCACCTTTTAAGTCTTGCTTGTAATTTTCTCCAACACAGACTTCCTGGTGCCTTCTGAGGAGGTCAGACCTATTCAATATTAGTCATGTTCATCAGGCCCTACCCATTCTTAGCTAAACGGCCACATTTACATTTGGAAGGAGGATGTAAAACACTGTCTGTAGTGTGTATGTACATGTGGGTATATTTTCATTAATTTTTAATAACCTTTTAATTTACACAAAAGCAGTAGGTGATTTGGCATCTTCCTCTTTCTGCCTACAAATCTTTTACCTATAATTCAATAGCAGCCATAGCACTTCCTCTATGTCTTAACCATTCCCACAGAAATTCCAGATTGACATGCAAGCTAGCTTACATGGGGATTGCCTTTACTTATTTACTTCTGCCTCCTGTCTCTAGCCTTTTCCTTCAGCATTAAGCCATCTGTCTTGTCTACATCATTATCATTCCCCAAATAACTCTACATTCTTTAGTATCTCCCACAGTGCCCTGGAGTCCAGTAAATAAATTCTTGTCGATTGATCAAATTCCAGTGACTTGCCCTCTAACTGAAGACACCTACCCACACGGTCTCTTTTGTCTTTGCTCATCTCCTGTCTGTTCCCTTCACTCAAAATAGGTTGACTTTCTCTGTCTCTTTGACTTCCTTCTCATACTATCCCAGCTGTCCCTTCCTTCCAGGCCATCCTTTAGCACGTTTCTGTTTTTCTAGATTTCATCTATCATTATATTTTCTTTTCCTTCTCTATATTTAAAATTTTGTCTGATGAGAGATACTGAGAAAGACAACTTTCTATTATCTGTTCTCATAAACATGCACACCCCTCCCAGCTAAATGTGCTCTTACATTTTTACCATGGAAAGGGAAAAGCATTTGAGAAGCAGAGGAGCTTTGGCTCTGGAATTTGGCAGACCCAAGCTTGAACCATGATATTTTTATCTGTAATCTGTGTAACTTTGGGCACTTTAATAAAATTCTCTGAGTCTGTGTAATATATAAAAAGGTTTATTACAGAGTTGTGAAGATTAAATGAATTAACAAAAGGTATGCATCCTGTTTGGTGCATAGTAGCCACTCAGTAAATAGCAGCAATTATTAAGGTTACTTCAAGTCTTCTTCCCAAACCAGAAACACCAAAGTACACTGTAATAATTTAAATAGTTTTGTTTGTTGTAAACATTGTTTTGAATCTGATTTTATGTATTTATTATACTTCATTTTTATTTTGATAAAAATATGTTTAGATATTTTAGTGTGTATGTTTACAGTAAGTTATGGTAAAACAGAAGTACCAAGTAGAGCTTCAGACTGTTAGAGGGAAGAGAGGAATAAAGATGTCTAAAAATACTTGAAAAATAAAAAGAAACAAAATTAGGAAACATAATAAATAGAAATGTAAAATGAAGGAGTAGGGTTAAGACTGAATATGTGAGCACAATGCATTCAGATGGTTTACTTTTCCTAATAAAAAAACTCTCCAACTGAGATTTTTAAATTGCCATTTACAAGTGGTACACCTAATTAAACATTTCACAGAAATATTAAAAACAAAAGAAAAGTATGACAGTGGGAATGGCAAAATAAGGACCTCTGAAAATCCTCTTCTACATAAAAGCAATGAGAACACCAGCAAAAATTGCCAGAATTAATTTTTCAGAACCCTGGAAATTAACCAAAGGGTTGAAGCAATCCAGGAAGTGTTTATTCAAGAAAAGTAACTGAATTTGGTAAGAATAGTAAGCTTTGTGGCATTTTTAACTTGCTTCATTCCCATATTCCTCAGCTCTGTGGTAGCCTTGAAGACTAAACAGCCTACATTCATAGTAAAAACCAGTAGCCTGGCAGCCACTGGATGGTGCAGAATAGTAATGGAGCATCTTTAAAACCCCATTTTGAGAGAATCATCATTATTTGACACTTCTGGTGGTTCCCTGGAAGAACTCGCTCACAAGACTTTTTTTTTTTTTTTAGTTTATTTGACTCTGAGTTCACCAAGTGCAAATCACCTTTTCCTCTGGGGCATCTGTTGAAAACAAACATCAGCAATGGCTTAATATCCCAGCTGCTTGAGGTGTTGGATAAGAATGGTAGCAAACAGTAGATAACCAAAAAGCTTAAAAGGAAAAGTTGAGGGATTAGATGTCCATAGCGGACTTTGAAAAGTTCTGACACATTCCTGGGGATCTAGCAGATCACAGGCATGCCCAGAGCTGAGAGCATTCTCATAAAGTACCTGAGAAGGTCCTAAGCTCTCATCTCTGTCTGACTTTGAGGCTCTGTGCAAGCAGGATGTGAAGGCTAAGGCAGAGCTGTCAACTGCCTGATGAGTATTGAAGGTGTGCCCCAACATATACTTAGAACCTCTTTGCCAAGATCAGTTCTAGGCCTTTAAGGAAATTTGTGTTCAGTCATTAGCTAACCAAGCAAAAACTTCAGTGGCCACATATGACAAGAATACAGACTTTACAGATGTAGTTCTGTACTTTACAAATTCAGTTAGAGGACAATCTGATTTCTAGAGTTGCCACATTACATTATTTAAGATGCCTAGCTTTCAACAGAAAAAAATATGAGACATGTAAAGAAACAAAAAAAAATATTTTCCATTCACAGGAAATAATGCAGTATATTAACATTGCCCTTGAAGAAGTCCAAATGTTGGGCTTATTAGACAAAGACTTTATTTTTTTTAATATCTATCTATCTATTTATTTATTTATTTTGGGTACAGTTGTTTTACAATGTTCAGTTACCTTCTACTCTGCAGCTAAGGAAGTGGAGTTCCCTGTGCTGTACAGCAGGTTCTCATTAGTTATTTTATACATGTTAGTGTATATATGTCAATCCCAATCTCCCAATTCATCCCATTTACCCCCTTTACCCCCTTGGTGTCCATATGTTTGTTCTCTACATCTGTGTCTCTATTTCTGCCTTGCAAACCAGTTCATCTGTACCATTTTTCTAGATTCCTCATATATGCGTTAACATATGATATTTGTTTTTCTCTTTCTGACTTACTTC